TCTCTAATATCTCCTATTATCTCTATATCCCACAATTATCTCATATTATTATGTAATCTGTAGATTCTATCAAAAGTATAAAGTTGTGCCTATAAATAGAAGCCATGTAATGTATTGAGCACACTTGAATGGAATGAGAAGTACTCTCTCTTGTTGATTATCTCTTCTTCTGTATGATTTTTCTCTATATTTCTTCTTTATCTATAACACTTTTTATATTATCATTAACAAAGAAAAAGAAAAAATTAGGGAAAATTCTGTTTTGGGAAATTTATATTAGGTGGGCAAAGGGATATTATGCAATTCTTCTTTGACTATGTGAAACCCATTATTATGTGCAAAAATTTTTAGAAAAAAGACGATAAACTATCTTAGAAATTACTAAAAAATAAATCAATATCGATGAATCTTAAAATCTCAATTTAGATTCTTTGTATTACTCCTCCGATCCTTAATATAAGACCTAATTGTTGAGTTGATTTTGATCTTAAATACAAGACATATTTTTCATATTTATTAATTTTTCTAAATTATCCCTATGGATACTTTCTCAACCGTAACCAAGTAGAAAAAAGAAGGAGGATATTAAGGAAGATAATTATAGTGTTTTAGAAAAAATATGTTATATTTCTTATAATTAACTAACTTATCTAATTTTCTTAATCTAATCACATTAGTTAAATAAGTCTTATATTAAGGACCGAAGGAGTATTTTGGAATTTTCAAATCTTGCCAAATTACACAAACACCCTTTATTATTTTTTTTTTCTTTTCTTTTTAAATATTGCTACCTCAGCAGGTTTTTAGCTGCCATTGCTTCGGCATCAAGAAACCTGCCACTGGCTAGTTACCGAAGTTTCGATAACTACTCTTTTTTATGTATTGACTACTTTTTTCTAGCTATTGATTAAATTGGTTTTTAGAACTCTGATAATTACTCTTATTTAATTACTGACTACTTTAATATTGTGATTGACTATTTTTATTTTTTTAAAATTTGATGACTATTCTTGCTTAACTATTAACTACTATATTTTTGCTGTTGACTACTTTTAATATTTTGTGATCGACGTGATTGATGCTTTAGTCTATGCAATTGGTCTCTCTAATTTATCGTCATTTTTCCCGGAAAGTTCTGGCTGTGTCATTGTGAATAATTCAAGGGAAATTTTCATTTAAGGATGGCAGAAGAGAATTTATATTAGTTAACCCCCAAAACATTATGAAATATCACTGCAGGACTAAGGAACCAAAGTGAAATGAAAATTAAGAGTAAGATTATAATAATACCCCTCATTTTTATTTTTAAAAAAATAATATTAATGGACGCAACTGCTTCGATGGCCGAATTCTTTTTTTCTTTAAACAAGGTAGTTAAGGGAAGGTTTGAACCTATGACCCCTTAGCACACCAAAAGTGATGTAACCACCAAGCTAAGCAAACCATTCAATCATGTGATGCAAATAAAAATATATATAACAAAACAAACGCAAATATCCAAGTATAAGTGAACAAGTGAAATTAGACGATTTACAAGTGAAATTTAACAATTTACAACAAAAATTAGCCAATTTACAAATAATATAATAAAATTCACAGCCCCAAATGTAAGTGTTCAAGTGTAAATAAGCAAGTGAAATGTGAAGATTTACAACAAAAGTTTATGAATTTATAAGTGAAATTTGATAATTTACAAGCGAAATTCAACGATTTACAAGTGAAATTCAGTAATTTGCAACAAAAATTAAGCAATTTATAAATAACATAATGGAATTCACAACTCCAGATGTAAATATTTAAGTGTAAATGAGCAAGTGAAATTTGAAGATTTACAACAAAAGTTTATGAATTTACAAGTGAACTTCAACAATTTACAAGTGAAATTCGATAATTTACAAATAAAATTTGACGATTTACAAGTGAAATTCAACAATTTACAACAAAAATTAGGCAATTTACAAATAATATAATAAAATTCACAACCCCAAATACAAATATATAAATGTAAATAAGCAAGTGAAATTGTTGAATTTCATTTGTAAATTGTCGAATTTCACTCGTAAATCTATACACTTTTGTTGTAAATATTGAAATTTCACTTGCTCATTTACACTTAAACACTTGCATTTAGGGTTGTGAATTCTATTATGTTATTTGTAAATTGTCAAATTTTTGTTGTAAATTGTTGAATTTTACTTGTTCACTTACACTCAACACACTTACATTTTGGGTTGTGAATTCTCTTATGTTTCTTGTGAATAGCCAAATTTGGGTTGTAAATCCATAAACTTTTGTTGTAAATCTTCAAATTTCATTTTCTCATTTGCATTTGAACACTTGCATTTAGAGTTGTGAATTTTATTATGTTATTTGTAAATTGCCTAATTTTTATTGTAAATTATTGAATTTTACTTATAAATCATCTAATTTCACCTGTTCATTTATACTTGGACAGTTGCGTTTGTTTTGTTATATACATATTTTTATTTGCATCACATAATTGAATGGCTTGCTTGGCTTGGTGGTTACATTATTTTTGCTGTGTCAAGAAGTCATGGGTTCAAACCTTCCCTTTGCTATCTTGTTTAAAAAAAAAAAATATTCTGGCCACCAAAGCTACAGTAACGACCACTAGAGGTCCAACCTCCAGTGGCGGCCACCTGAGCACCGGTGGCCGAAACAGTTGCGTCCCTTAATATTTATTTTTTAAAAAAATAAAGTGAGAGGTATTATTATAATCTTACTCTTAATTTTAATTTCAATTTAGTTCTTTAGTTCTGTAGTGATATTTTAGAATATTTTAGAAGTTGACTGATATAAATGCTCTTCTACGGTCCTTAAATGAAATTTCCCCATAATTCATGGTGTGTGTGCGTGTTAAGCACCTGATGAGTGTGAAGATAGAGAGCACCTCAACTCAATTCAGAATTGTTTGATGTAGTCTCAATGTTCTTGTTTCAGTACTTTTCATATTATCATTAAAAAGAAAAAATTAGGGAATTTCTTATTTGAGAAATTTTTTTTTGCTACAAAGGAAATTTATATTTGGTCAAAGGGATATGATGCAATTCTTCTCTGACTTTGTAAAAAAATTGTCTAGTCATTTGTGAATATATGAAGATTTTTTTTTTGGTCAAAGAAACATATGAAGAATTGCTCCCACTCAAATTGATGATATATCAAATTTGAAACTAAGAAATAGAACATGAATTCAAATGTTCAAAATTAGATTTTATTATTGAAAAATCAATTTCTCTACTCAAAATTGATTTTGTTAGTCAAAAATGGATGTTTGTCCTCTTCTATCACACATTTTATTTTTCATTTTTTAAATTTATACTTTCAACAAGTTTTAATTTTGAGTAATTCTCATCCTTATATATCTTAATGAGGGGTTTAAAAACCAACATAAAAACCCGTTAAAAATACAAGAACCAAAGTAGGCTTAACCTTTTTATTAAAATATTAAATTAAAATATGACAAATATATCATATGTCAATAAAAACATAACACTATAAGTTTTTTTTTTTTTGTTTTAGGTGAGAACATAACATTATAAGTTAACCAAATAACTACATGCGCACCTAAAAAAATCAAACATTTGTCATGCTTTGAGAAAGAATTATATAAATGATAACTACGACAAGATAAAGAGTAAATCAAAAATGTAAATAAGAATAATATTTACAATTAGAAAGGCATACAATGTAAAGCATTATAAAATGTAATTTCACTTTACAAGCAAACTGCATCAAACAATATAAATAATTCAATATGCTTCCTTCTTAATCTCATCTTTAGTGCTTCGTTATAATAATAGTTAACTGCTTCAAGTTTTCTGACTAGTTTTGAAGATCTTTTTTTTTTTTTTCCAAAAATAAAAACTTTTTTATTTGGCAAAAAGAAAAAAGTGTAGGTGAATTAGCTCTTGCCCACCCGAGGCAAAGCATATCTCCAAATTTAGAGAATGCTTATAGAAATATTTATAGATAGTCACCAACAAGATCCTCATATAGGTACTGAGATTTGAACTCATGATCTTGTAGGTTATGAGTTGATTCCTTATCAACTAGACCAACTCTTGTTGGTAAAAACCTTAAAAATACAAAGAAACACACACACACAGACACCTAGCATAAAGAAAGCTCACATCTCACGCAGAACCAGTTTCCCTGCTAGGTGCTCATCACCCAAACGCATCGTTTAGTAATTAAGGGAGAAATCTTGGCCACTGATTGCATGATAACCCTAATCGTTAGATTCTGAAATTGCTTTTGACAGTGGAAGGTTACAGACATGAATTGTTTTTTCACCTATGAGCGTCGTCATTGACGGTGGCTGTCCTTGGACGGCACATGGGGATAAAAGGTAACGCATGGTTCAACAGCATATAGTGAGAGATTTGGTTCAATGATGCTTGAAAGGATTACGCAGATCTAGTTTGCTGGTGCAGGGATTCATGAACCAAAGTAGGATTTGAAGAAGAGACGAACGGAAGCCATTGCAAAAAAACTTAAAATAATGGTTCAGATGTTGGTTTTCATCGATTTCTTATAGGAAAATTGCACCACTCTGGCTCAAATGCAGAAGAGCAATTTGTATAAAGCGGTGCTGAAGAGAAATGCAAAAGCGTGTTTGTAGAGCCCAACAAAAATTACTTGGTGTGAGCTATTAACAATTTAACACCACTGTGGCGATTTAATAAATAGAACCCCTGTCTACTTTTAATTGAAACGCTGCGCTTTGGGTGATGAGCACTTGGTGCGCATCATCGTGCTTAGCAGGGAAACTGGTTCCCATCTCACGCACATGCTCCCCCCCCCCCCCCTTTTGGGGATAAGCCAAGGATGCCACTAAACCATAAAAAAAGAAATGTACAAAGCTTGCAAGGATAGACGGAATGTCTTCCTGCCGCGCTTGACAAAACCATGGAACTTTGTCCAAAACAGCAACACAAGATCGTACAGATTTACACACGCATGCTACTTACTGAAGACATGATTAGAATACTACACTTTACAACAGTAATTTAAGATGCCTAATTGTCAGTTTCCATGTTACACATACACACACAAACCATGTATTTGTAGTTAGTGGGACTCTGCAGCTTTGAATAGTTCTTGCCACCTTGCAGCATCAGTTCCAGGACCTTCACCCTATGATCATTATTACAATATATTCATTTTAGCATCAATTATATGCATCAATATATTCATTTTAGTCCATAAACCTCTATCCGCAGAAATACAAATTGAAATAAGAGACGTACTGACAGAAAAGATGACAACTAAAGACCCGTAATTCATATTAACCGACAATATAAAATTTACAAGAAGCTATTATAAGTCGTGAATAGTGTGGCTTATTCCTTAGACTTTGTGCAATATGGGAGAAACAAATTTAGGTTACAGCCAAAAAATGTTGAAAATGAGAACTTCTCTCGATGATCACAAAAATAAGTTCTACTAGAGGTGCAGATCAGCAGATGTTATGTATCCCATTTATATAGGAATGAAAAGCAAATGCCTCTCTTATGGCAGCAAAAACAGGGCCCAAGTTGTGGTATTCACGATGAAAGCGAAGTGCAAATAAAAGGTTAAAATTGCGCAACCTAAGGATGCTGAGGCACAAAACAGTAATCGCCAGTATTTTTACTTAGCCAAGGAAGATTGGCCCCTTAAATTTTTGTCATGCCATTTCTAATCGCACTGACATTACAAATTCATATGCCATAGCTTATACTATATAATGCGAAATCTATTAAAAGCTTACCTCAACAGAATTGATTTCATATACTTTGCCTTCAGTGAATTCTACATCCAGAGCTTGTATGCAAGCTTCAGCAACAACAATTCTGCTGGCCTCTCCAACCAGTTTATCTCCTGAAAGTCGATTGCAGATGCTTATCAAAAAGAAAAAGAAAGAAAAGACCATCCCAATTATAAACTAATTATAGAAGTATTAACTATGGTGAACTCTACTCCTGATAACTACCATGTGTTTCAACTCGAATAGTCATTTAGAAAATTCAGGAACTGCCCTGTCATTTGTCACATTAAAAGTTGAGTCTTTTCTCTTCTGAGTATTATGTAAAGTCCAGATGCTTACATTGGTTAGCATTTCACTTCTGCTGTTTCTTTTGTTAGTTCTGCAGCTGAGTTTCATGAAAGGGAATGGTGATAAATTTGGTCCGAGTATGAAGACCTTCACTTGTTTTTTTGCAAGTTCAAAGAAGAACAAATTGGTTTGTTTTAAACGCAGAGAAAAGATTCAAATAAATTATAGACCAATTCTCAAGATATTTTAAGAATGCTGTCCATTTATTTCAAGACTCATCACGTATAATTCAGGATAATTTTGCATTGGTTCAGATCAACTTCATTTGTTGCTACAATTGTGGGGAGTCACGTACAAAATGGTAGCTCCAATGTCAATATCTATACCATTTTCAAAACTTACCAAACCGGAACCTCCATTTTCTAATCAATCTACCTTACAAAAGACATAGAGAGTTGTATGTGACATAGCACCCTCAGCACAAATGGTACGTAGTTCCAAGCTTTGAGCAATTTCTATTGCTAATCAAGAGAGCCTAGCATCCATATTTTCCTAGCTATGGTCATTACCACAAAGAAACACTCGTCCCAATTCAGATTCCACTTGTTCTTAAAACGCAAACCAAACTAGCAATCAAATCGTTGGTTTATAATATAATATCACCACATTGAGCTTCTAGCAGCCTCTCTATACTCATTGGTTGAAAATGCTTAGAAATGAAGAACAAAAACATAAAAACTAGTGCCAAGGCAAAACAAGCATCTTAACATACCTTGACCCATAAGGACAGCACGCCGTTGCTCTGCTGTGGCCTTGAGCAGAGTATTAAGATCATAAGACGTGTATGGCCCATCAGTCAGCCTCCCAGGTCTGACATGCATTAAAATGTGGAATGAAGAGATTTAAGAGCTCAATGGCACATAATCCAAATTAATGTGTTCCATTTATTTATTTATATACCAGCAAAGATAATAAGTAAACGCAACTTTCACCTTACCTGATAATAGTAAATGGAATGCCCGAACTCTGGAGAAAATCCTCTGCCATCTTCTTATATTTGAGGACACCAAATAGGTTCATAACGCTACACCACAAAGTAGATTATGAGTAGATGTGTGACACAAACAATCAACAAGTCTTCTAGATGATAAAAGTGCAACTATGATGGAAGATGGAAACATGAAATTAATTTCATTTCATTATGAGATGTTGCCAGTACAGTACGGGACTGGAGCTTCGTAATAGGATAATTGGGACAATTTACGATGAATAGGAATTATCAAAGAAGAAATTCGAGCAATGAGATACTTTATCTCCTAGTAGAGAGCAGGATTAAAATACTAGGGACTCATATCTAGGAAATATAAGGATTTCTTATCAGGTTGTCTATAATCAAATAAAATAGTTATCCTGATATTTACTATAAGTTGTACATCAATATCTAAGATATATTTAGAATTCTATTATTTTCTTTTCCCCTCTTCTTGTGCACTAAATTTAGCCAAATCTGCTCTTTCAGTGCCATTGTCACACCTGGAATTTTGTGTTTAGGGTTAAGGTGCAAATTTGTCCCAGAAGTCTTCACACAAGAGCACTGGATGCCCAAAAGTTTTTTTAGGTGCAAATTTGCCCCGAAAGTTTAAAATCATAACAATTTTGCCCCCAATCATTAAAAATGTAATAGTCAACGTTACAATTTTGACAGTCAACATTAGTTTTGTAATGGTATGGGGGGCAAAATTACTACGATTTTAAACTTTTGAGGCAAATTTTCACCCCAAAAAAAAAAAATTCCAGACACCCAATGATCTTGAGTGAAAACTCTTGAAACAAATTGCACCTTAACCCTTTGTGTTTACCTTTGTGCAAGAGACAACACAACTACTGATTTTCTCCTCTCTTCCCTACCGACAAGGGAACCATTGATTACAGCCGTGAATTCCATTAGCTCACCCAAGTTTGACTCTATTTTCAATGTCTCTCCAAGCCACCCATCTCGTTTTGTAACATCTCAACCCTACGTTCACCATGCACCTAGGAATGTATTAATTTGATAGCATATTATGACTCAAGTATTTCCCTTGCGTTACAGTTAAAATAGACACAGAAACAACTTAAAAAGGAATGGAACTCCCCACATAAACAAATTAAGCCTGATTCTCCCTCTGTCCTTACCCCAATTTATCTCAGACTACCTAGTCAACTAAAAAATAAAAAAAAGAACTCCATGTGTCTCTCATCCACCATTATAATTCCCATGCATTGGGCAATTCATTTGGTAAAACCTCAATTTCCAGTAGAAGCTTCTTATTCTTTCCTTGCCTACATCATGTAAATTGGGGATTGATTATGTAGTTCCAACTTCCAGCAAAGCCTTTTAAAAGAATGATCAAATAAAGGAGATACCAAAGACATCCTTTTCTATTTTTTGGTTACAACCAAAGGCATTCTTTAAAAAGGACCAATTTATAACCTTTAAAGTAGCACCAATTCTTCAGTCAACCTATCACTCCACAAGAATTCGACCTATCACTTCAGTCAACCTTTAAAGTTTTGATCTATGCTTGGTAAATCTAGGAATAAGAAGGCACAAGTGGGTGCCTCTTATTCTAGACAATTGGGGGAGGGGGGTTGTCTTTAAGCCAAAAGCAATGTGGCAAAGGAAGCCAATTAGTGCCTTGAACTAACAACTCTGATCAAACTGTAGTTTGATTTTTCTCTTCAAATCATCAGCGAGTTGATTTGTACCTAACTTTAACTCAATAAAGAAAACCACAATAACAACGACCTTGATCTTTTCTTTTCTCTTATTATATCTTGTCAAAGGGCAGTCTACATCAGGATATTAACAAACAAATTTGAGACAAAATAGTAGAAAATTTAGAAGGTTCACAGAACACTTTTAATTTCGGACAGAACAGTCATATTTTATGACATCTTTAATCACCAATAAA